TGTGTGTGTGTGTGTGTGTGTGTGTGTGTGTGTGTGTGTGTGTGTGTGTGTGGAGAGAGAGAGAGACAGAGGGAGAGAGAGAGCAGAGAGCAGCCAGCACCTCTCTCCACCCAAGGCTGAAGGTCAACAGACGATCATGCTAAGCTTGCTAACAGCTCCACCCTCTGACTGCTGCAGGGGCGTGTCTTAGAGAGAGGTTTATATATGAGAGGACAATCGCTGTGACGAAACTGTGCAGAAGCACGTCACAGCAGAGAGCCGTTAACCAATATGCAAATTAGCCTGCAGTACCACTGCTCTACCCATATGCGCAGCAAAAAGACGTTTTTAGACCAAATATTACAGATTTCAACAAATACACACAAAAACATCAAAATTAGCACTGAAACAGTACTATATAACATTTTAGACACATTCTAGACAGTTTATCAGCTAAAAAAAGTTAATTTTGGGGTAAGTTACTCTTTAAAGACTCAGCCCCCATTATTAAGCAGCACATATTGGGGATCTATTAGACTGATGTCAAAATAATATGCCTGTATCTGTTGATCTCTACTACCAAATATGGGGATTAAATGGTCCAGTCCACATATTTTATAAATAACTTGTGTGCATATATATACACACAGGCTTTTTGGTATAGGACTTTGGTGGAGGGTGTCAACACTTAAAGCACCCCGTGTAGGCCTGCAGCTGTATAGACTGGTACATGACAGACTGCATTTAACAGTGTGTTTGTTTTGACAACCTTCTAACATTATTTTAGCTTTAATTTCTACTCCTCTGAGCCTGTCTTTGGCCCATGCATTCTTTGACAAGCCTTGGACTTCTGTGACAGTCCTGCCACTATATTTTTCTTTCCTTTTCCTTTTTTGGGAGGTCTGAACCACCTCAAACTGGAAATATTCTACAAGACCTGCAGCTGTGAATGCTCTATGAAACTGTCTTAAGTGCAATTTACCCTGTCGCTCAAATTCTTATCCTTGCCCATTTTAATGAATTTGTAGTGAATTAACTTCAAGGGCAGAGTGTTTACTTGTATAATCCATCCCACCCTCTCCCACTGTAAAGAGAGATAATCAGTGTTTTTCATTTCACCTCAGCGGCCTTAATCACTTTAAATTATTCTGCACCATGTTGTTTCATTTACATATAAAAGTTTACCCTAACTGTGTGATGTTGTAAAAGAGAAATGCTTTTTAGCATCACATTTAAATGAATTTATTAACCCAACTCCCAACCCAGCTGATGTTTTTATAAGTCGCTGGAAGAAAGCAGCCACTCGGCCACAGCGGTGATGTGGAGAACTGGATTAGAGCCAGACTTGTAGAGTGGTTTCCTAAGAACATGTACCTTAGCTTATTAAGAAACACCCTGCATCAGCATAAATGTGAATGAAAAGGAGACTGAACTGCCGACTGGGGAGGAGCTGGAGGAGAGGAAGGATTTAGAGTGAAATGTTCAAATGTAAGCATTAAAGGACATTTTTTTTATTTAGATTCAGTTCTATGCAAGTTTAAGAAGGCTGGACACTGAAAGTAAGAGTTTTGTGCATTTAATTTATTATTTATTAGGAGAAATACTTGATTTTAGATGTCTTATCATATTTCTTTATCTTAGTCAGAAAATCCCACAAGAAATTTAGGCCTGTTGGAATAAAATTCAGAGTGAACATTACATCACAAAAAGCCTGGCTAAGGATTGACTCCTATCTGGCCCACCAAACGGCACTTGTTCGGTTCAGAGTGTTCCAGGCATCGTTACGTTCAAGAACAGCTAATCAATGAGACGGGAAGGATGAGCGTAAAGAGGAGTGGAGGGATATAATGGAGGCATTGGGACAGAAGAATGGGGGCTCTGTTGTTTGGGGGGGGGGGGGGCACTGTGTCGTTTCTCCCTGTTGCGTAATGATACTGGTCTGTCACGACACAAAGAGCAGACACAAAGATCAGTAGACTTGCAGATGGGGAGTGGAGTGTGGAAGTGAGGTTTTTATGGACTGAAAAGCCCAACAAGAGCACATTGTGAGCTGGATGAAGTAACCACTTCTTTACATCGATTTACATCTGTTCAAATAGTGTATCTCTTTTTCTTTAGAGAAAGAGATGCCCTTTTATTTTTATTTTCCTTTCTTAAAGGGCATTCCGTGATTTGTATTAAGGCTGTACAATATGTTACAAATGTATCATTCCAATATCAGTCTTGCAAAGGACTGCAAAAAATGATGGCCATTATATTTTAGGTAAGTTTTACATACAAACTTTGTATTTGATCAGTATAATTTCTAATTGTATTGGACTCTATCGTGATGAGGTGAGAAGTTGTTATCTGTGAGAAACTTGGGAGTGGAGTTGCTTCTCCTCYACATTGTTACCTATTTGTCAGTGGTTAAAATGTTAAGAAGGTAATATTCTGAAGTGTACAAATGTACAGTGTTCTTTTTTTTTATCTTATTCTGTTTACTTTGGTCTTTTAAAGTGTGGTCTGGTATCCTATTCCTTATTTTTGTAGTCTCCTTTAAGTATATTTTGTCTGGTTGTCTCTTGGCATTAACTGTGGATGGCAAATTAAGAATTTCATTGCTCAGGGAAACATGTTTCAACTGTGTATATATGACAATAAACACTTTGAATCTTGAGAGGAGCCAGTTGAAGTGGTTCGGGCATCTGGTAAGGGTGTCCCCAGGATGGCTATCTAGGGAGGTTTCCCAGGAATGTCCAGTGGGGAGGAGACTCGGAAGATCCAGGACACCCCAGAGAGACTCTCTCTCAACTGGCCACTGATTCARTGGCCAACCAGGAGGAAAGCAGTGATGGCCAAGTCTACTAGTCTACATATGACCAAATCCCAAATAAAGCTGCTGTCACTTGCATAATTTTCTGTTTTTGTTGTCAGAAGATGAAAAAACCTGAAATTCAGACAGAAATCATTGGGACTTTTAATTGAGCACTCCTTTGACTAAATCTACAATTAGGTCCATATATTTGGGCACTGACTCAAAGTTGTTGTTTTTGCTTATTTACTGAAACTTTAAAATTATAGTTAAATAATGGACATGAAGTCTAGACTTTCAGCTTTCATATGAGACACATTAAAACTGGATGATGGGTTTAGGAGTTTCAGCACCTTAACTTGTGCCCACCCTCAAGCGATCAAAAGTAATTGGCCAATTAATTTAAAGGCTAGTTCATGGGCAGGTGTGGGCATTTCCTTCATTATGTCATTCTCATTTGAAAATAAAGGCCTAGAGATGATTTGAGTTGTGATTCCTGCAGTTGGAAGATTTTGCTGTGAAGTAAACATTCAGTCAAAGGAGCTCTCCATGCACGTGAAACAAGCCATCTTCAAGCTGTGAAAGCAGAAAAAAAAACTTCTCAGAAATTGCTATAATATTAAGAGTGGTAAAATCTACAGTTTAGTACATCCTGAGAAAAAAAGATATCACCGTGGAACTCATTCAGTGCAAAATGACCTGGATGCCCAACAAGACAACAGTGGTGGATRATGGCAGAATAATCTCCATGGTGGAGAGACCCCTTCACAACAGCCACCCAAGTGAACAGCACTCTCCAGGAGGTAGGCGTATCAATATCCAAATCTACCATAAAGAGAAGACTGTATAAAAATAAATACAGAGGGTTCACTGCAAGGTGCAAGCCACTCATAAGCCTCAAGAATAAAAAGGCTAGACTGGACTTTGCTAAAAAAAAATGCAAAAAAAAAAGCCAGCAGAGTTCTGGATGAACATTCTTTGGACAGATGAAACCAAGATGAACCTCTACCAGAATGATGGAAATAGAAAGTATGGTGAAGGTGTGGTACAGCTCATGATCCAAAGCACCACATCTGTAAAACACAGCAGAGCAGTGTGATGGCTTGGGCACTGGGTCACTAGTGTTTATTGATGATGTGACACAGGACAGAAACAGCCGAATGAATTCTGAGGTATTCAGAGCCAGACTGTGTGCTCAGATCCAGCGAAATGCAGCCAAACTGATTGGTCATCRTTTCATACTACAGATGGACAATGACCCAAAACATAAAGCCAAAGCAACCCAGGAGTTTATTACAGGAAAGAAGTGGAATATTCTTGAATGGCCAAGTCAGTCACCAGATCTCAACCCAATTGAACATTTCACGTGTTAAAGACTAAACTTCAGACAGAAAGGCCCACAAACAAACAGCAACTGAAAACCTCTGCAGTGAAGGCCTGGCAGAGCATTAAAAAGGAGGAAACAGCGTCTGGTGATGTTCATGAGTTCAAGACTTCAGGCAGTCATTGCCAACAAAAGGTTTTACACCAAGTACTAGAAATTAACATTTTATTTACAATTATTTAATCTGTCCAATTACTTTTGAGACCCTGAAATGAAGGTATTTGATTTAAAAAAACATTTAATTATTTACATTTCTATTTTGTTCCACCTACTGAATTGAAGCTGAGAGTCTGAGCTTCAACTGCATCTGAAATGTTTTTTCAAAATTCATTGTAGTAATGTCTCAGAGTAGATATGGACCTAACTGTGTGGTGGTCATAAAGAAAACCTTGAAACTGCTACTACAATATTTTACTGCCGCTCTTTTTCTGAGACATTATGTAGCTTGTCCCCCCTTTTTGTATTGAGTTTACAAATTAACTGGCGTGGCAACCTTAAATCTAGTTGTACTCTAACYATCAGCTGAAGCCATGAAGCAATTGTCGGCTGAGGTCGCTAGCAGCCACAGGGTTCTGGGGCAAACATTTACACACAGAAACAAAAAGCGGTTAAGAAATGAAAATCCTACCTTTTGACTCAACTCAGTCCCAGAGTAAAAGTAGGACACACAGCAACATCCCCGATTTCCTCCACTTAGCTGTAAGTTTTCTGTGCTTTTTCCCCGTCTTCTCTCCTGTGTGTTTGGCATTTCTACTCCACTTTTTCACTTGCTAGGTGTTTGGCAGTCCAGCTTTGACAGCTTTCATCAGTGTTTGAGCTTTCATCCTATACTGTGGRGCTTCAATGATCTGACATATTCCTGTTAAAAAGATTGTTTTGTTTACCGAACGATCCAACTTCTGCAATGATCTACTGCATTAGACTATTGTGCTCTCGTTCGATACGTCATCACCTCAGGGTAATGCAAAATATTGTAAATGAAAAAGGTAAAAGATGGATAGTGATTTATTTATGTTGCTACTTAAAGGATTTGTAGGTTTTCTAGCAGTAAAGTTACGTATAATGTGCTCTTTAACAAGACAAAAACCAAAGCGTTACCATGGGCTTGTGGTATKATTAAATTCACATTTGATGTTTTATTGATGTCTTATTGTATATACATGGTTTACATCTGTTGCAGCATGTCTTGGCAAGTTTATCTTCCAGTCAAAACTTTTGGAAACCCATTGTTTATAAACAATCCTGACCTAAATGACTTTCTCTTTGTCTCCCTCTGGTGGTGAAGTAGGAGTAAGACAGGTTTTGTGTGTGTGTGTGTGTGGGGGGGGGGGGGGTGGATTGTGTCCTTTTTTAAAATGAGAAAAATGTTAAATTTTTGTTTCACATGGTCTGCATAAAGACAATCGTTAATGCTAAAAGTGAATTTATTGTGGTGATCTTTGCGAGCTTTTTGAGCTTCAGATATTTTAGTTCCCAATCTTCCTCTTTTGTTTGCTCTTTGTTTATCTTAAGCTGTCTTTATTTTTTCCACTATAGATCCATATGTGGTAAATTTCTAAATAAAGTCAGTATAACGGCACAGCTACATTTAAAATTAAATATTGGTTTTTTACAGGATTCTTTGAGTAAAACTCTAATAATGTGTCTGAACTGTGTTTCACCCTCCAGATCTGAAGCGAGAGGCCAGCATCTGCCACATGCTCAAACACCCCCACATCGTGGAGCTGCTGGAGACCTACAGCTCCGATGGCATGCTCTACATGGTCTTTGAATTGTAAGTGTGCGCTTCCTTTTAAGCAATATAAAGCTGCTAAATCAGAGTCACACCAGTACAGTTTGTGCAAACCTGCATTCATGCGCGCTAAACTGTGACATGACTGGAAATGGGACAAACAAAAAGCCACAAAGCAGGCTAATTTTATCAGCAGCTAACAGATGGCTGAACGTGTTTTCACACTTCGAAGCTAGCTCTGCAACTTGCTCATATTTTTTGTTGTCCCAGGCTTACTGGGGCAACAAAAAAACAAGTGATAAAAAGAAGTAGTTCAGATAAATAATTAAGCATCTGAATTAGATAGAAGATGAATAAATATATATGAATATCTACATGTATACGCTATCCATGTGACTCACCTTTTACACATTATAAATCTATCTGAAATAAATAGTTTTGTTTAATCAAATATTGGCAAAATGTTTAGTCGCAGTTTGGAATAAAGTAAATTGATGTTACTGAGTGACATGCCAAAGTATATATATAACATTTAAAGGTTATACAATGTTACGCTGTACTCTCTAATTTTATTCTGTATGATTCTGGTTATTTTGTTTCTCGGTTTAGATCTGTGTTTTCCTGAAAGCTGTCTGAGGGATTACAGAAACCAAATTGTGCCATAATTAAACACCAGGGACTCAGTTTATGCTAATAATACCATGTCATAAAGCTGTTCTTTGATGGGTGTAGTGTTGTACAACGTAAYAAAATGTGTAAACAGAACAAGTTTTTGTGTAAATTTTAATCTGTACTAATCTTTTTAGTTACATAATCTCATATTTGTTTTCTTTTTCTCAGTATGGATGGAGCAGACCTGTGTTTTGAAATCGTTAAGAGGGCGGAYGCTGGGTTTGTTTACAGCGAAGCTGTGGCCAGGTACAATACACAGTTCATGAAATAATACAATTCTATATGAGCAGTGAGTATTTCTCCCGAATAAATTCTGTTTCTGTTAATGTGTTTTTGTCTAGTCACTATATGAGGCAGATTCTGGAGGCGCTTAGGTACTGCCACGACAATAATGTGATTCATCGCGATGTAAAGGTGAGATATATTCACTGGGCGTAAGATGATAAAACCACGAAAAGATGCACTTTTTCAAACCAGAAGACAAAAGGCTCTAAACTTTAAATGAAGTAGCGTTATTTAAAGGAATGCAGCACCTTGTACTTAATCAGGTTGATTTTAAAAGTTTATCAGTTTTAGATTTATAGTTAGTTATTTTTTATTTATTAAAGTTTGTGCACTGATTCATGAGAATCTGCTAACAAACAGATAAAAATTAGGTGATCCTTAAAAGGTTTCTATTAGGACTAATTACTAGTGCTGGGCACATTAACACATTATTGCGTTAACACAGCCGACGCTTAACAACCATAATTTTTTAATGTGCGTTAAGACATTTATTTATTTGTATTTCTTCTTTCGGATCTCTGTTCGCTGGGCAGCTAACACACACAGAGATACGCACAAACCCGGTGATTATAGCGGGGAGGCAGGATCTTGATCACTATTGGCTTTAGATCAGAGATTCTTAACCTGTGGGCCGTGAGCGCCACCTTGAGGGCCTCAAAAGAACAACAGTTTTTAACTTTGGGCCGCAGACGGCCGTGGGACTGCATTGATTTTG